CCGCATCTCTGGCCTGTACCCCAGTTCTGTATGAGTAAATAAATAAACCTTTAAAAAGAATACTATCTTCCCATGCTCTAGATACATATTAATTAAAAATAAGTGAGGTGAATAGATAGATGAGCTCACAAATGTACATGCAATACACATATTTTCCTTTTATCCTCTAAGGAAATTCCAAATGATTTTCTCATATAGAAAATAAAATCTATAGGACCCACAGGAATATAAATAAGAACAAAACAATAATGTGAGAGTGTCATGATAAACATACCCTGTGAAGTAACACGCAATCGATGTGATATTATTAAACACTTCCTCTAGAGAGGTAGTATTACCCATATCCTCATCATCTAACACCCAGACTATTACAGAACCTGCCAGCCTCCAGTCTTTATGCTCTCAAACATATCTTCCACACTGTGGATGGAATGGTTTTGCTAAAAGACAATCTGATTTGGTTCTTGCCCTCCCTTATCTATTTCAACAACATTCAGATAACTGTTGATTATAGCCTGCCACTTAAAGCTTTTCATAATCTGGTCTCTACCTACTTATTCAGCTTTTGCTACTATACTCCTTCTTCACCCAGAGACCCCATCGTTAAAATTATATTCCAGTAACTACTGATAATTTCCCTAAAACACCCACCCCTCTGTTTATGCTATACCCTGATCCCACGCACATACGCCCAACTTTGGATTTATCTTCTAAATCTTTAAGATCAACCCTCACTCAAGGAAATCCTTCCTCATACCCAGTATGGCTTATTCTGTAACACCCTAACGCATAGCCCAGTTTCAAACCTGCAGTACTGCTCTCCCACTTCCTGACAATGTTGCTGATAGCAGCTGTAACAGACCCCCCTGTCTTGGCATTGTCTATGGTTGAAGACATTTGTAACACCCAAGGTCACTACTCCTTCCTCTAGACAGATTTACCCAGTGACTTGCCAATATAGGATTATATAATGGACCCCTTGCCCAAATAGAGCAATTAGGAAGGAAGGGCTATTGAAAGTGTAGAATCCTGCCTGAGACTCACTGACATCATCACTGTGACTGCACGTGAACCCAATTTCTGCTCAGTACAGTACTTTCTTCATTCTGCCACTCAAACCTAAGGGCAAAACCTCTATAAACCTCCCAATAGTTATTTTTCAGGTAGATGCTCTGTGCTCCCACTAATCCTTACATCTTTGAGGATAATTATCTAATATCCTCATTTGATTATAAGTCAAGTGTTTGCTAATATGTGTGTGTGTCCTTTCCTACTAATCTTTGACCTTCTAGTGTATAGGAACCATTTAAATAAAAATTCAAGTTATATGCTCATTTAGTAAATTGTTAACTAGTAGTGCATAGCTAATATTTGATAATTACATATTATGTACCAGCCATCTTGTTTCCACATGAGAAGACTGAGACATGGTATTTTGTACAATGTCAAAAGCAATACTGTAAATAGAAGTCAAGAGTTGAGTTTTGATCTCATAACTGCCTACCATATGTCCATCCCTCAATAAAGGGAAATCCATCAGTTAATTTATGAAATGAGACACACTCAAACCACATAATCTAAAAGATAAAACATGTTTCTTCTAATCCCATTTCTGTCTTTAATAATTTGAATGTATATGGCACATTCTATCATCTCTCTAGTTCTCAATTTTCTGTCCTATAAATTGAAGTATTGTAATGCTCCTTGCAGCTCAGAAATTATTTTCTAAGATAGAATT